TAACTACGAAAATATTTGATTTACAAATAAGGAATCCTACTTCGCGGAATTTCATTTATCACGGTAGGGTCTAGAACTGATTAACCGCGATAAACGAGGGTTCACTGTACAGTTAAATATATGATACAAGAAAGAAACAGTTAAATTATAAAGCACTACAAAAGGCTCAATTCAACTCACTGCCGTGAGAGAGTTGTGAGAGACTAGCAGTCCTTCAAGTCCTAAGTCCTGTCTGCTGCCAGATCTTCCTCTATTTATAGAGAGAGCTAGGCTATGTCAGCACAGCAGCCAATCAGAAGGCAGGTCATCAACTGCCAGTCAGGTCACCAACTGCCAGTCCCCAGCTCCAGCGATGTCTTAAAAGAGACCTCAACTTAAAGCGACACAGTCCACAGGCTAGGCGTCCCACAGGCAGTGTAGCCTTTAAATTGAGGCACAGGACAAGCAAGGCAGCCGCACACTGGTCCAATGATCAAAGAGCGGGAGACAAGAAAGACGAGACTCACCAAGCCATTTATCTCTCTGCCCTTCAGTTAATCCCACTTGTGTTTATCGGCCAGGCTGGCACAATATACTATCTCATATGATTATAGTCAATATCATTCTAGCTTATCCTTTTACTTGTTGTTCATTCCTTTCTATATCTTTATAGTTCTATATCTTTATAGTTGCTAAATATATAGACTTTAATATTTTCTCGAAACGTGAACCTCCATCTAAATCACAATTTAAAAAATTTCCCCCATTTGCCCCTTGTTTTTGAAGGGTATTGTGTTAGTAGACTAGAGAAATGTGTAGCCACTCATGTATATAAGAAAGAGCTTTACATACAAGAGCAATTGAATATTGAAAAAACAACCCAACCCAGTCCAGATTAAGTCCATAAGTCCAATATTAGCCCATATGTCCAATACTAGTCCATAAATTCCTCTTTAGACTCACGCAGCTATGCGATAATGCCAAATGCAGGTAGATCACAGGCCAGTGGGTGGAAAGTTTCGTGGATCCAGTGTCAGTAGAAGCCTCTCAATGCTGGCATGGGTTTCCATGTGGCTCCTCCAGCTCCCAGGGCTCTGGCTGCATCCGCATAGTTCTATCAAGCTCCTTGTCAGAAATGTCTCGTAGGGAATGCTGGCATGCTGCTCAATATTTATTTCCTTAGCACTGCCAAATGAGCTCATCAAGCTGTGATCTGATTGACAGCTAAACTCCACCCCTTCACTTTTATTTCTCAAATTGACAACAGATCATGTAACTACCACAGGTATTTTTGTTGAAGATTTTATATTTTTAAACTTTAATGGTATCTTTTCCTGTCATTTGCCTTTCACTCTGTTACAGACCATTTAGATCTTTTAATTATTTGATTTGTTTTTGTTTTCGAAGGCTAATGCATCCTTTTCTCTGGTTGCATTTTAAATGATTTTGCAAAGGCATTTTTTCTTCTCTATTAGTGTTGCTAGGGGTTCATGGCAGTCTTAATTCCACCATTTTAAATTCAGTTTTGGAAAATCCTCCTCCTTTATCTCTTTCAGTATTGCTTAGTCCACCTTTTTACTCTCTGTTAGGGTCCCAATGTAATTTATGTTAGACCCCTCTGACAATCTTTTCTGTCAATTTTCTGACAATCTTACAATATTTTTTAATTTTTTGGTAGTTTCTTGTTTATTTTTTCTGCATACTTTATAGTTTATTTACTTTATAATCTGCATACTTTATAGTCTAATGAAATCTCAGTTTCATTATTTAAGTGCATCTAATTGATATTAAATTGATTACTTGGATTTTTAATTTCCATCTTATTTCTCAGTTCTAGATTTTCTTTTTAGATTCTAGTTGACAGCTAAAAATGCCTATATTCTTTTTATTAGTTCTTTAAACATTCAAACTCACTGCCAGTGATTAAATTTTAACTCATGGTGTCCCTATGGTGCAGGACAACCCTGCAACTGTGGGTTTCCAAGACTGTGCACCTTTATGGGACAGAGAGCCTCATCTTTCTCCTGTGGAGCGACTGCAGGTTTCCAACAGCTGACCTTGTAGTTAGCAGCCCAACTCATTACCTACTGTGCTACCAAGCCTCCTTTAAGCATAGAATCATTGTTCTTTTGAAGCATATTTTGGAAATCATACTATTGATATCTCTTATGATTCCCTTTTCCCCTTTGATTCTGAGTAGTCTTGTCTTTTCTAATACACCTGGTTATTTTCTAATGAGGGATCGATTTCATATGTTAAAAAAATTAGTGATAGCTTTAATTTCTGTATTTGGTTATTATCTCTTAGAGAGAATTTGGTTTTGGTTCAAGGATGCAGCTACAAATCCTAGATCACTTTAACCCAGTCAATGAATAATGTAACTTGAGATTAGCTTCCTTTGAGGATCCCCCTGCGTCTAGTTCACTCATCGGGATCAGGTGTACAACTCTAGGGTCCCAGGGGGAAGTCTGATGTGATCACAATGCTCTCTTCTCCTTGAAGGACCTTGGGAAATCTTTCCCTCTTACTGCCTCCATGACACTGCAGAGATCCCTGTTCAGCCTCTGAAGATAGGCAGCCACCACTTTTAGAATCGGCACTCACCTCGTGAGAAAAAGCACTTCCAAATGCCGTGCTCACTTCTCTCGGGTTCCTCTTCTCTTCCGGGTCTTGCTAGGAGCCCTCATGGTGGAGAGCTTACGAGTTGGAGGCTAACTGCAAGGTCAGCAGTGTGAAACTACCAGCCACTCCAGTGGAGAAAGATGAGGCTTTCTACTCATAAAGAGTTACAGTCTCAGAAATTCACAGTGGAAGTTCTACCCTGTCCTCCTTACAGGGCCAGTATGAGTCAGCATTGATTTTCTGGCAGCGAGTTTGGTGTTTGGTTTTCTGGGCCTTGCTAATTTGATAGCTTGCCAATATATATATTTTTAAATGTTTTTGTGGTTTGCAGTGGCAGGATCTGATCAAAACAAGTTAGGAAGCCTTTGTCATAAGTGAAAACTCAACCATTTGATTTTCAGGTGGAATCATTTTGTTACTTTCTATTTCTTATTTACTTATTTATCATTCATAAAGACGTGCTGGCCCTGAACTGGTTTCCCTTAAGAAATCTTTGGTGCATATACAGCTAGCAAGCAACGTAGAATTGGAGCAGTGTAGTTCTTCCAGAAGGCTGCTCACTCATACTCTCACCACATGGACCAATTTTGCCACCATAGCCCTTCCTGAAACGTGAATAGTATTTAAGAGAATTCTGGACTGAAGAAAACTAGTGGTGAAAACGATGACCTGCAAAACCATATTGCTCAACTCTACTTGTTCAGCAAAATAATACTCAAAATGAAATAGAACTCAGCAGGTAGTTAGAGGTGATGATTATCTTGTATTGGCTCTTAATCTCTGTATAAAAATGAACAATTGAGGTGTTTTGGGGGGAAAATCCCAAATACATCTGTAGTCATAGAAATGGCATAGAGATAGATGTTTTAAAGCATCTGCATTACATTTAAAATTTTGAAACAATCAGATTCCTCACATGGTCAAGTATGTCTTACAGACAAGTCCCTCCTCCATGTTTCTGATTGACCTCTTTTGCCAGGACGGCTACGATGCTGGCATGCTATATCACTGTGAGTTCTCCATCTACAACCAAAACCGTAATATCAAAGAACAGAGAGATGAACCTTTTGAGTTTCGTTTCCTTGAGGATGCAGAGGATAATCCCGTCCAAAGTATCACTTTCAGGTAAAACATTCCACAACCCCCCTTCTAATTTCTATGTTTTTTATCCATGGATATGGTCAGTTTTTATTGATTCATCCAAAAGGAGGACTGCTCAAATAATGTTTGGTTAATACATCAGAATACATAGAGCCCAAGCTTACCTGGAGACTGCATTTTAATCCCTTTCATCAAAAACTGCCAGCATTTTCCTTATCACACCATTACATGTAGTGGATCCCCTTTCTGCTATTTCAAAAGAGGCTACTGCATGGTTAGATAATGAAGGTTCAGGGTTATAATGATTCTGGAGAAACCCCTAGGTGATTCATTCACCCTTATCAATTGAGAATTGACCATCAATGCCAGTCATTCTCCTGGAGATCAGCTCCACATTCCACAAGGACTTTCCCAAAGTCTACCTTATTACAGTGCTAGTCATTTGTCAATCAATTTAAAATGAGAAGCGATTTCCAGATTCGCGTGAGTAACAAAGCACTTTCTGTTTATCTCACAGCCTTAATAAGGTTATGATGTTTTGTGGAATGGAAAACGGAGCCGTTCGAATCTATGTCCTACATCGGAATGATACCTCATTGAGCAGTATGAAGGAATTCTGGCACCTCAGTATACATGACAACGATTACGGGCGCATTAAAAACATTGCTACTAGCTTTGATAACCGTTTCTTGGTGACTGCTGGAGGAGACAGTAATATCTTTGTTTTCAACATTTTTTCTGAATTGGAATTAGAGGAGGAGCTCAAAGCCAAAGTGCCATTCCCCAGGGTATGTGGCTCACTAGTCAACAGCAGGACTGATAAAAGTTAGATTTTAAAATAATGATGTTAAGATCTGCCCACATGTTCTAAAAATGGACAACTGCTTAGACAAAGTCATCTTAGAGACTAATGGTCATACCAGTGTTATCGTTTTGACTTTGGTTCTTCGGCTTGTGTATTGAATATTAAAGATGTTTAGTTCACTTGTTGTAAAGTTTCAACATCCCCTTAAATGAAAAAACGTGATAATTTCCCAGTATCAAGCACTTTTTTGATCTTTATGTTTTTTAAAACGAGCATTTGTTTCAGATACATATTTTGCTTTAAATTCATTCATTCATTTAAGGAACATGCATACTACACTGTTTGAAAGGGATTATGAATGTATTATCATCTTTAATATTAGATTATGACAATATGGGTCAAGATCAAAGATTCAGTGTAATAAATTAGTCTGTGGTCAGGCAGCATAGATTATAGATTTTGATGAGGAGTGAGGTTTCAGATCCTTAAAATACAGCATTTGCTTCATAGCAGACATACATTTTCTGTTTTTAGTGCTTTCTTTGGGTAAAATCACAATTTAATAACCATTAGACTTATTCCTGAAGATTAAGTAAGTGTCTGAAAGACCATGACTCAAATTCCAGGATCTACATTGGTTTTCCATTGAACTGCTAGCCAACTTCAAAAGAACACATTGAGACTGTAGAGAAGATTTGAACAAGTAAATTAAATTTCTGTTAATATCAGCAAAATTTGGAGCATGGGCTGGTATCTAAATAGATTCAGATCAGAGAGAGGAAGGACAGAAATGGAAGTATGTGAACAAGAAGGATAATCTTTATCTTTCTACCTAGTGACAATCTCCCCCCTTTTTTTCTGCATACATCATGGTATTTCTTTTCTCTCTCTCTTTTTAAAAATCATATTATTGGGGGCTCTTACAGCTCTTATCACAATCCATACATACATCCATTGTGTCAAGCACATTTGTACAGTTGTTGCCATCATCATTTTCAAAACATTTTTTTTCTACTTGAGCCCTTGGTATCAGCTCATTCCCCCTCCCTCCCCACTCCCTCCCTCATGAACCCATGATAATTTATAAATTATTATTATTTTGTCATATCTTAAACTGTCTGGTGTCTCCCTTCACCCACTTTTTGATTGTCCGTCCCCCTGGGACGCGGTTATATGTAGATCCTTGTGATCGGTTCCCCTTTTCTCCCCCCACCTTCCCCTTACCCTCCTGGTATCACCAGTCTCATTGACCCTCAGGGGTTTATCTGTTCTGGATTCCGTGTTGCAAGCTCTTATCTGTACCCGAGTACATGCTCTGGTCTAGCCAGATTTGTAAGGTAGAATTTGGGTCATGATAGTATGGGTGAGGAAGCATTAAAGAACTAGAGGAAAGTTGTATGTTTCATTGGTGCTATACTGCACCCTGACCGGCTTGTCTCTTCCTTGTGACCCTTCTGTGAGGGATGTCCAGTTGCGTATGGATGGGCCTTGGGTCTCCACTCTGCCCTCCCCCTAATTCATATCGATATGATCTTTTGTTCTGGGTCTTTGATGCCTGATACCTGATCCCATTGTGGGCTTTGTTGCTTCTCAGCTAGATGGCCTTCAAGCCTTTAAGACCACAACTCCGTATTGGATAGGGAAAAAAAAATCCATGCTGAATTTGTATAATAGGGTCTTTTTAATCGATGACTGCAAGCAATTTGCCTTAAGTCATGGCAGCGGATGCAGCCTTACGTAGCAAACATTTGAAACAACGGAAAGAAAACAGAGCTTTGCATCAGTCTGAGGTTCTCACACTTCATTTAGTATGCAGCTGGAAGCTTTAAGTGAGTACAGCTGCCTGAGCCTGACCCAAGAACAATTACAGAACCATCTCTGCAGGTGAGGCTCAGACATCACAGTATCTTAATGTGCATCGAGGAAAGACAACTGTCGGCATGTATTTTGCCTCACAATTTAAACCACTGTGGTGAGGAGACAGTTGATTCTCAGTATCATATACTGGAAATCACACTGATGCAGGAGAAAGGCTGGCAATAAATGAAAGAAAAATAAAAATCTCTCAGTTTGTGTCTGAAGTGAACACCACTTCTTTTACCACCGCTGTCTCTTACATTGGCCAACTTTTAGGAATGTCAAAGACCTTAACTTCCATAAAACATATGTAATTTTACATTTACTCTGTGAATAAAGACTGGCACAGTAATAAAGTTGATTCAAAGTGGGTTCATTAATTAAACTTATTTAATTAAGGAATGAATGTAAATTCCTTTTTACAGTGAATGACAGCAATACAGAGCTGGTATGAAAGAGAGGAGTGGATAATAAAGTTTAATTTTATTCAAGACCTCTTTGGTTAGCAAACTTCACTTGCTAATTTCACTGGCCATAATTCCTCCTGAACAGCACAGACTCAGATATTTGAGGAACAAAGTCTTGTGTTTGACTTCATTGCTGTTAGTTGCTGTTGAATTACTTTCAATTCAGGATGGCCCCATGTGGGCAAGGCGGGACTGCCCTATCTGGTTTTCAAGGTCGTGGCCTTGGAAACAACCCCCAGGCTTATCTTTTGAGGTTCCTCTCAGGTAATTGGAACCAGTAACTTTCTGACTAGTCCTGGAGTTTGTGGTTGGTTTACCACCCAGGAATGCTAGTCATGAGCAGGTGTCCAGCTTTGTAATGCTCGCGCTGAAAGGAGGCAGAAACAAGTTCAATCAACTGCTTTTTCCTAGTTTATTTTTTTGGATGTGAAAATGAGGTTTTAGACATTCAGTGGCTATCAAGGAGCCCTGGTGGTTACAAGTTGGGCCCATAATACAAAGTCCGAAGCTGGCAATCCCCGCTGCTCTGGGAGGGAAGGAGGAGGCTTTCTACTCCTGCAAGCAATTGAAGTCTTGAACAGCAACAGGGGCAGGTCCACCCCCTCCTGTCGGGTCGCTATGAGCCAGCCTGGGCGCCATGGTAGTGAGTGAGACATACGAACTATTTCTTACTTAATGTTTTAAAGGAAAGATCATGCAATCTAAGAGCGCTAATCTTGTTTCCCCCTCACTTCTAACAGTTTGGAATTGAAACAGAACTCATTCCACCAGATATTGAAGATCCCAAAGCCTACAGGTATGAGCATGTTTGGTAAAGCACTGATGAGGCCTGAATGTTTACCAACCAAAGTTGGACAGAAGTTAACTAAAACCCCACCGCTCTCCAAGTTATCCAGTAGTCATCTCTCCTTACGCTGTTTCTTTTCCTCTACCTGCTGCCCTTCACGATTTGTCTTCAGTATTGAGAATGCCAGGAAAAAAAGAGAGCATGACAAGTTAATGAAGGAAGTGCTAGAAATACAGAGCCAAAAGAGGGAAAAGCTTAAATATTTGAGGAGTGAATTTTTGAACCTACTGAAAATGAATGAAGAATTACCAAAGCATATGCAGCTGAAACGCACAGTAAGCCTGAATACATTTCATTTTTATTTTAACGTGTGCATTTCCTGGGTCGATTATTTTGCCTATAAGTAGACCAGAACCAGACCACTGCCCTGAGTCAGTGCTGACTGGTAGCAGAACTGCCCCATAGCAGGCTTTTTTCTAGTTTTTTTCTGAGACTGTAAATAATACATTAACAGAGAACCTCGTCTTTCTCCTGTAGTGCAGCTGGTGGGTTTGAATTGCTGACATTACAGGCAAGTAGAAACCTTAAAATAATTTTTAAGCTTCCTTTTAGCTGCCCATGTAGATGCTAGTATCAGGTAAACCAGTGGTTCTCAACCTTCCTAACGCTGCGACCCTTTCATAGAGGTCCTCATGTTGTGGTGACCCCCCTCCCCAACCATAAAATTATTTTTGTTGCTACTTCATAACTGTAATTTTGCT